GTTCTCGTCCGACGCCGTCGGTCGTCGTTTCGTTTTCTTTTACTTTATTATATATATATATATATATATATATATATATATATATATATATATATATATTAGTGTGCGTGCGTGTGCCGTCTACAGGGTGCCTGCAGGCTGAAATGAACTTTGAATACCCCGTTTTCATCCAGGGGCGAGTTCAGGTTCACCGGTTATACGTACCCGTATAAGCCCTATAGGCCCTCCCCACCACAATTTAATTAACCTATATACTACTATATCACCACAAGTTACAATCACACCGCTTTCACTTTTATGGTTCTCTCTATCGTTCTTTGATATAATTTTAACCGTTATTTGATTACAACATAACTGCAAAACATGTCATCCAGGATTTAATGCTAAAGGGAGACACGTACGTACTTCGTGCTGCATATCTTAATTGCCATGGTGCCCCCCCCCACCCTCGCTGACATCGTGAATATTCATTGCATAGTCTCTAGTCCCGCCCCCTGTATATCGAAGCAGTATTTGGAAACGGCTATTTATTGCTTTCGTAGGTGAAAAAATCGTCTGCGTCGAGCCCAGTTACCCTTACTTTTACGACCTCAGCTATTCCCGCTTGCCGGCGCAGTGCACTCGCCGAGTTCCTTCACTTCAGTCAGCTGAACATCAGTACTGAGAGTGCTGGTCTGATCGCGTGCTCTGCGCGTGCATCCTCAAGCGGAAATGACCCGAATTGAATGAGAGGTATTATCAGGAGTTTGAGCGATTATATTTACTCCTGATATTATTCGTGATTACAGATGCTGATCACTATAGATCTAATGTGACAACAAGCGTGCATAAAGACTGCAATTCAGCCGGCAAAATATTATAGCAAAATGTTCCTGCACGAGATCGACCGAGGCTGGAGTTGGGTGGTGGTCGTAACTTCGTTCATTGCGCACATGCTCATCTATGGCGTCTCTTGGACATACGGGATCTTCAATATGGTGTTCCTGGACGAATTTAAAGGGAACGCCGGTGCAACGGCATGGATTGGTTCCATTAACACAGCATGTCTGCTGGTCATTGGTAAGCCTAGTGAATTATGGTATGAGTAATTATGTGGTAGTACAACGAATTGGGTTGTATTATAGCGTGCGTATTATATATAGAAACAAGCGTACGTAGCGGGGGTACGTAGCGGGGGCCGTAGCGTACGTAGCGGGGGTGCGTTGCGAGGGCCGCAGCGTACGTAGCGGGGGCCGTAGCATACGTAGCGGGGGCCGTAGCGTACGTAGCGGGGGTGCGTTGCGAGGGCCGCAGCGTACGTAGCGGGGGCCGTAGCGTACGTAGCGGGGGCCGTAGCGTACGTAGCGGGGGCTGTAGCGTACGTAGAGAGGGCCGTAGCGTACGTAGCGCGGGCCGTAGCGTACGTAGCGGGGGCCGTAGCGTACGTAGCGAGGGCCGTAGCGTACGTAGCGGGGGCCGTAGCGTACGTAGCGGGGGCCGTAGTGTACGTAGCGGGGGCCGTAGTGTACGTAGCGGGGGCCGTAGTGTATGTAGCGGGGGTACGTAGCGGGGGCCTTACGTATTATAGCGTACGTATTATATATAGAACCGTTTATAGTTAGCATTGCTGATTAGTGTATTACTGTTTAATTTGTTACTAAAGTTACCGGACGAATAAGCTTAATTAAGAAAGGAGTGTGCATATACCATGAAGTTGTGCTTCCAGTTTCGATACACTCTCAATTTACGATATCTTTTTATATGGCTGCATGTGTCTATTAAATAAAATATAAAATCAAAAATATAAATACAAAATCAGTATAAAATCGATCAGTATAAAATCAAGATAAAATCTATAAAATCAGTCGCAAGGCATAAGCCCGGCTTACGTGCAAAGACGCTGCTGCCGTTGCAATAGCAACAGCGCAGACTGTGAATTCAAGGCCGGTTCACATATGGGTTTTTAGGCTTCTTAGTGATATACAAAGTATAATCTGGTGACTACACAGCGTCATATGATGGACAGGGAGCCGTTTTCAGAAACATCGTAAAGTTAATGATAATGTTAATGCTAAGATAAAAATCATTGTAACTGTGTGATTATTGTTTGTGTAATTGCGTTATTTTCATCTTGGTTTTAAAGTTACGAGAGGGTCTAGGATCTCGTAATGTTAAGAGGAAATTTGCGAGGATCTTTCGTTCTCGTAACTTTACGATGTTTCTGTTAACGGTTTAAGAGTCGAAGTTCATGTCAAGACAAATTTTAAGACTAATTTTGTTTCTGACAACGGGCCCTGGTTCCCTAGTTTAACCTTTGATTCACTGCATTGACCAAATTAAGGGGAAATCACAACGCGAAAGTCATCCCTATAAATCTCAATTAACCCTCTAACATAACCAAAAGGATACTTGTCCACAGCATCCATTATAATTTATATTGTCGGAAGTCGACGCATATGATCCCTCTTGGCGTGTTGATTTTATCATTTTAATTAAAATTTTACCTACCGAAATAATGAGCGGTTTTACATGACATTGTTTGTGTATATGAGTCGATCAGTTGAATCTTCCTTGTAGGAATAGAGTTATGATTTTTGTGGTTTGATGTTTTTTTATATTTATAATCATATACCGACCCGCAATTGCAATTCCTAACATTTTAATGAAAGACGCGATCTCATATTCTAGATTTCTAGAATAGGACCACATCTGGATAGGACCACGTCAGTTTCGAAGCATGTAAATTAATGTAAATTACGCACTGTTAGCTACCTATATAGTGAAATTTAATCGGCGCTTTTACACACGTGCAGGTCCGTTCGCCAGTGTGTTGACGAATCGGTTTGGATGTCGTCCGGTAATGGCAGTCGGTGGAGTGATCGCTGCTGCTGGTTACGTGGCTAGCTCCTTTGCGACGGATATATATCACCTGTACTTCAGTTTCGGGATAATGGTCGGTAAGTACAGAACACAGTTTCTTCACACATATATATATCGGCCTTCATCTAGAGAGGCATGATACAAGATTGCGTGGCACAGCTTTGCTGTTGATCCTGAGCGCTGCGCGCGGATGAGACGCCGCGCAGTTCCGCGGGATATGCGCACGCGACCGCGGGGATGTTGAAGTATGAAGCGCTGTCCGCAGTGGAGACGTGCGACAAATTCGAGGCCCGGCGCACGTCTCCACGGCGGTCAGCGGATGGTCTGTACTTTTAGAAGATAACAATGAAGACTTTGTTCTAAATAAGAACTATCGGTTGCTAAATAAGAGCAATATACAGACCCTTGAATTTCTTGACTAGTTAGTCAAAGGGCTTGTTGGGGGTCCATTATGCAGAGTTTCCAATTGAAATGGCTCATGAAATTGGCAAGCGGAATTGTGTTTTTCGGAACTCCAAAGAAAATGTCTCCCTCTTACATGCACCCCTCCCTGATCAATCACGCATTCAGGCGTAAACAATAACAGAGATGAAATTGTGTTGAGTTTGTGGCTCTTGACGCACGTGCATTGACGTACAAGACTACTGTGTTCAATGAATGACGCACTCGTTTATTTCCGACAGCGAGTGAAAATGCCGAAAATGTTTCACTTCGATGCAAAATGCATCGGCCGGGCCTTTCATTATTTACGAAAAGTAACCAGGCTGGCGAAAGACAGTCGGTACAGTAACTGGTCACGTCGGTGACGCCCCATTCATGGCCATCAACGAAGAAGGCGGGGCTTATTGTGATTACGGAGATGCAAAAATGCGATAGAAGGACGTAGCGCAGTGCGCTAAACAGCGTGTTATTTTCGTATTTGTGGCAAACTCTATCGTAGGAAACCGTTCTAACATAGCAGAATGCCCTAGTTGCCCAGATCGGCGATTTGGTGGTCCAATGGGTCCCCACCTATAAAAATATAAAAGACTGGTGCGGCGTAGGCTGTGATTGGAAGACACAAAGTGTCAATCCTCGGCACGCCTCGTCATCATGGCCGCATCACGTGCAGGTGATCGCGTTGATCACTACAGTCAGAACTGGCAAATATCACTAATACCAAGAGCTAACAATAATGTTATTAGCTCTTGCTATTATTATATAAAACTGCTGTGTTATCATTCATAAAATAATATAATAATAAGCCAATAAACCTACCAACTATGAATTAAAATGCGAATTTTGCTGAAGTTATGATTAATACTAATAATGATAATGTATAACTAGTTAATCAATGTAAATGTAATAAAATATTGTTTAATACGCGGCCTTCCTTTCAGGCTGTGGACTAGGCATTGCCTACATTCCTGCTATAGTATCGGTGACAGAACACTTTCACGACAAAAGAACTATCGCCACGGGAATTGCTGTCTCGGGTACAGGCTTTGGCATGCTCGTCTATCCGATTCTTTTCCAATGGCTGCTAGAGAAGTACGTCTGGAGACAGGCGTTGCTCATCACCAGCGGTATAACGTTGAATCTGTGCGTGTGCGCGGCCGCGATCTTCCCGCTAAAAAGAGACTTCAACGTAAACATCGTCAAACCGACGAAGACGCTGAGCGTGTCGATGCTAAAGAAGCCAAACTATACGAAGCTGTGCATAAACAACCTACTCTTCTGCATCGCGCTGTCCATCGCCTACGTTCACCTGCCAGCGTACGCGCACAGCGTCGGCCACACAGAGCAGCTAGCCTCCATGTTGATCTCAGTCATCGGCGTTTCGAACTGCGTAGGAAGAATAACCTTCGGGTTCATGGCTCACCATCCGAAGGTATCCGCGCAGACCTTGTACGTGTCTGCCTTCGGAGCCATCGGTGTCGCTACGTTTTTCGTACCTGCTTCCACCTACTATGGATACATCGTCGCCTACTGCGTGATATTGGGCTTCTTCAGCGCAACTTTTGGCGCCCTACTGCCTCCACTCCTCGTCCAGTTTCTCGGACTACACCGTATGGCCAACGGCTATGGTTTCCTTCTCGTCTACGAAGCAGTGGGGACTCTTTTCGGAGCTCCGGCAGCAGGTGCGAGAGAGCTATATACGTACACGTTACGCACAGAAATACACGATTTTTCTGTAGATTAATTTACTAACATTGAAAAGATTCATCGTAACTAATATCAAATCGGAGATGAGCCATGGAAGTGTGGTTCTAATGCCTGTAACTGTTATATATTATTATTCACTCCTGATATTATTATACATATCAATTATTGTAGCGTTCTTGTGCTTACTGGACCCCGTATACATGGCTATTTTAATGGATAAGTTAATTGATTGGTTAATTGTTTTATATTTTTTAATCAGGAATGATGTATGATGCTGTGCACACCTACACGTCATCCTTCTATATGGCTGGGGCATTTTTCGTGGCTAGTGCTCTTGTCATGTTGATTCCCGTACCGAATGATTCGAAGAAGAGGAATCTTAATAACGAGCTGCATGAGGTTCCACTTTGTGACGTAAATGGAGTCATAAAAAAAGTGTCAGCGTATTCTCTAAAAAAGTAAGTAAAAGTCTCTCTCACCCTCTCTCTGTCTGTCTGTCTGTCTGGCTCTCTCTCTCTCTCTCTCTCTCTCTCTCTCTCTCTCTCTCTCTCTCTCTCTC